ATGCAAATAAAAGAGAGCACAGAAACATATGTTGGACATGCCCACCAGCCACGCCAGAGGTGGGGGCATTCAGTCTGCAATAACTAAGCCCCAGGCAGCTGGGCAGCCCCTTGTAGGCTACAAAGATGAGAGTTGGGATATTTAGCAATAGTGGTGGTTCTGCCATTTCTTTTTCTTGGGTTTGGGTTGTGTGTGGTGTGTTGCTGGGGGCTTTCTGTTTTTTGAAGGCAAATTTTAGCCTACTTCTCTGCTGGCTTACAGAAGTATTCAGGACATGTTTCTGGACTTCCACTTTTTTCTGCTTTGTCATTTTCTGTTGGCATAGCACAGAATCCATCTGGCACAACACTGTGCTTTGTGCTATGAATCAGAATGCTGAGCTTGCAGAAGACAATACAGTCTTAGGACCGTTATTCATTGTAACGCTTTTTTATATTATGTCTGTCTTAAAGGGGAAAGAAAGCATCCATCTTCAGTCTTGTCTCTCCCTTTTTCCATTCAGAAATGAAACGTAATGAATGAAAGTGTTTTCCATAAAGAGCACATATACAAAAGAGTATATTATGAGTATATATGTGCTTTCATAAACACAAAGGAAATATTTGAAATTAAACTTGCCTGTTCTTGTCAATCCCTGTTTTCTACTTTCTCTTTGGCATTTGAAAGCCATTTTGAAGAAAAAGGAACTCTTCCAGGAATATATTCAAACATATTTCACTTTTAATCTGCTAACACTGGATTTTCAAACCTTTAATATGTATTTGAATGAACTAAATTATGGCCAGCATATACAAGTCAGAATTAACAAGGCAGTATGTAAGGGTAATGTATAGCTTTCCTTCCCCCTTCATTCGGCCTTGGACCATCACCTGAGTCAGGCACTAGGCTAAGACTATTTGCTGCCTTTGTCTCAGACTTCCCTGTACAAACCAGAGCAAACCAGCTAAGCCTGGGTCCTCCTGTTCTTGCCTGAGCTGACTGACTCCTTACTCTGCAAACAGTCAATTAAGCAAATTAGAAACCAGAATGTGTTTCCATCAGAATTAAGACTGTAAATACAAACATGTCTGCAACAGTTGGTCAAAAGTGTTTATTAACATCCATGTTGCAGCAGGGATTGGGGCGATTAGATATTTTAAATCTTATAATTTCCATATTTGAATGAAAACAGTAGAATGAGCCCCATTCTGTCTGAAATGTACAGAGCAGAAACCAAAGGGCAGTGTGGGAAGGTAGATTTCCTTTACACACCTTCAAGATCTTCTGTTTTAGGTACTTTGCTAAAACACATGTTCTGCTGAAATGAACACTCTCCTGCTTCTCAGAGCCCCTTGCAGGCTTTTACTAACATTTTCTCCTCACAGGAGGGCAATCTTACCTGAGGCACAGTGTGAACCAGGGGCATTTTCCTTCCTTTACTGAGGGAAGACTTTATTTCTCCACCAGAACTCATCAGTCTCCGTTTTCACACATCTCAGCACAGGCCTATCTCCTTTTCTGCTCAGCCCCTTTGGGAAACCCACAGTGGCAGCCAGCAGAGTATTAGAAAACCAAACTCCTCATTTTCTCCTGGTGTGTCTTGGTGTGGTTTTTGGACAGCACACCCAGGAGTGCTACTCCTCCTATCCCGTGCACTGCCAACCTGTGCCCTTGCAGCTGTGCTCCCATCTTCTGGGATGAGGCCTGGAGCAAAGGCAGCAGTACAGGGAAAAAGGAAAAAAGGACAGCACAGCTGGTTAAGGGACCTGCCACCTGTGAACCCATCATGTTGCCATAGGGGACAGGCCAGCCCCTCATGCTCTCTGTAAGCTCCCTGAATTCTGCTTCAACCAACACCATCACATCCTGTATCCATAAGGAACTAGAGGCATCACAGGCAAAACCCTTCTTTTAGGGTTATGCACAGGATGAAGCCCCTCTGAAAGGGCTCTGGCACTGAGGTCAAGCCTACCCTTCAGCACTTGTCACACTGGCAGGCACTGCAGCACAGGAACAATGTTGCATGCTTGAGGAGTTGTTCAAGATCTTTAATAATTCACATCCTCCTTCTGCCAATTAACATATCCAATGCAGTGAGTGGAGCTAACAGCCCATTTTATATTGGCCAAAGAGCTGTCCCAAAGTCTCAGTCCCTTGTCTGTCATACTTAGTTGTGGAAATTATGATGGCACAAATAGAGGTTCAGGCACTGCAGGATAAACAGATGATGTAGTTGAAGTCTTAAGGAAGAAAATAGTATTTTCATATACTGGTTACTGGTAATAGTAACTCTGAGAAAATGGATTAAACATTCAGATCTTCCCCTGTCATACAGAGCCAGATTTATTCCTAAATGGAATGTTTTCAAAATTTCTAGTGGCATTTCAGCTGTTCATTAAAGTGTACTGTAGAATATAGTGACAATTTATTACATAGCTATAAAAGCAGTAGTAATCATTATAAATGCAAACCTTCAGATGTTGCTTTGTGTATGCTGTAAATCCTGTTTCTTTTTTATTTTTTTCCCCATCAGTACATCTAGTGAAACGGTGATTGTAGCAATCAGTAAGCAAAGAGCCAAGTCCTCCAACAGCTGCCAATACCCTAGTCTGTTTTATACAACAGATGGGAGGTTTGTGCAGGCTAAGATAAGTGGCCACCTGTAAAATATAGTTTTTGATATGTGCCAAACTGGCCAGTTGTATAGTCAGGAGCAAAACTAGTCAGAAAAAGAAGGCAGCTGTGCTGACCACCCACATCTGAAACAACAGGAAACATTTACTCTCATGGATGGATGCCCTGGTTTCCAGCAGGGTTGGGAAAACATTGTTATGCAACACTAATGTATTCAGAAAAATAATTTCTATGCCTTTTGTGGTGACTTTCCATGACACTTGGAGCATCCCATCTGATCTGTACTCTGGTAAAATCTTGCTGCTATGGGTGCTTGCATCTTACCATATCAATCTTTAAAAAACACCTGCCTCAGCACTTGCAAATTTCTGCCTGGCAATATCTGTGTGCTGAATTTGGTGATGAGCTGCAGTCTTCTTGTGAACTCAGCTAATCAGTGAACAGCGACAGCCCCAGGTGACGTATTTGACTAACTGGCAGCTAATCAAGCATATTTGAATTTTTCATGAATATTGGCAGCAAACTGTTCACAGCATATTCATAAAATACATTTTTAATTCATTTAAGAAATGCATTTCAGGCAATGCTCATCACTTTGCAGATCTGCAGAGGGGTGAAGTAGTTCTTGTGCATCTGAAAAATGGTCCGTTGAATCATTCATCCTATTTTATCTCTTTTAATTTGATATTTCTTTATTTTTTCATCAACTAACAGGCTAGAATTTTTTTCCAAGAGTTCCATGATTAGTGTCAGTTCTCAAAACGTTGCAGCTAATCACTAGTAGCAGTCAGTTTTCGTATTTTTCCTTGTTTTGAGTTTGAAACACAGCTAATTATGGTGTCTGAAAAACTTTCTACTTTTGTCATGTGGAATCAAATGGTATAAGGAGTCAAAGCACATGAATATGGCTGCTGTGAGTCTTGCAACATACACACAGTGAAAATAGCAAGCAGAGGCTTAATCTTCCTCTTGTGACAAGAGTATTGAGTAATTAGCATAAGTTTACATATTTTCACTAGGAAGGTGATTAGCAGCCAGAGAAGAAGGTGTTGTAGAGATGACCTACTTTTTATTATGATATTTTACCATTCAGAAACAGACCCAGTTTCTGAACTACTTAGGTGTGCAATTACACAGTAGAATTGTCCTCCCAAAATACGTTGACAGGTACCAGAATTGTGCATGCCACTGGGAAATTGCTCATACTAATTACCATTGTTAGCTACTTGAATATAAAATATCTGCAAATTCTTAAGGAATTAGAAATAAAATGGATTCTCTTCTTTCATGTCAGCTGTGTATGTATTTCTGAAGGCCAGGGGACCAAGATTAAGCTTGTAATTAGGTGGCAGATTTTTCTTTCATACACCTGCAAATACCCCTGTGAGATTTCCATTTAAAAATGGAAAAAATGTGTTAATACTGTAATTTGTTTACTTTGTAACACTTGGAAAGGATTAAAGATTTTCCAATAAAAATATTGAAGAATCACCCTTTAAAGTCAAATATGAAATACTGAAGTCAATACTTTATCCATTGATTAATTGTTTAAAAAGAAACATCCACAAAACAAACTGTATTGCATAAGAGGCATGACATGAATCACTGTTTGGGACTCATATCTTTATAGGACGCCTCAGATTGTGAAGACAGCACTTAGACGGCATTTTCAGAGGATAAAACATCCTGGACATGGCAGATTGTAGCAACATATTATAACCCTTGCTAGTTGACTTTAAGCACATGTGGCAGGAGTACTGAAGTTTGTGCACATTACTTACGGGGGCTTTTTTGTTTGTTTCTGACTACTCATGCATCTCATCTGTCCCTGGTACTGGAAAGCTAGGGAATGTTATTTCTTCAGAAACTGTTAGCAAACTGTGGTTTTAAAACTTCTAACTTGATATTGCCACGTAAAGCTGCTGTGCTAGCCTACATTTTCTAAACTTTCATCTTAAGCCAGGAATAGAATAAAATTTAAAGCACATACAGCTTTACTAGGAACACCAAATTCATGGAATTATTTCCCAGGTGAAGATGTATTGTGAGTGCATTTGCACATCATGTATGATCTCCCTGCCCTATTTGCCCATATACCAATGAGAAGCAGCCCTGCTGCATGTGTATATATGTGGGTGTCAGAGTCATAGCATCAACAGGTCTAATCAGCACCAGGTTTTCACAGAGGAGCAACCCTTTAGAGGAACAGAAGCCCTGTACTTCCTACAGAATACATTTCAAGAAGTGGATGTTCAGCTGATGCACTTGGGATTATGCAGCTGATCTTACTATCAGTCCTCTCCTTTCTTTACCCCGATCCTGGTGAGGCCATTTAGATTTGATGAAATACCTGTTTTCTTTTTTTCTCTTTTTCCCAAACCTCGCAGGATATCCAGTGAACACTCGCCAAAGCTCCAGATTCGGAGCCACAGTTACCTGAGGGCAGTGAGTGAAGTCTCCATCAACAGGAGCCTGGACAGCCTGGACCCCGCGGGGCTGCTGACGTCCCCCAAGTTCCGCTCCCGCAACGAGAGCTACATGAGAGCCATGAGCACCATCAGCCAGGTGGGTGACAGGCACCCACAGCAGCCCAGAAAGCAGCCCCCCTGCTGGGCAATAGAAGAAACTTGATTCTGCTTCTAGTGGTATCTGTTGCACATCACACCATTTTCAAAACGTTTTTGAAGAAGCAGAAACTTTTTCACATCGTCTTGTTTTGGAGAGGATAACATTTGAGAAGGCCATAACCTGCCCTTTGCAAATGCCTGGGTGGCACCACATGAAATTCATTCAAAGGCGCACTCTAATTTTCTGTTTTGGTTTTCCAAAAGAAGGTGCAAGGTTTTCTTAAGGATCTTGTGCTTAGTACCTAAAACTTTTTTAATGCCTCCATAAAATTAAAAATTAAAATTAAAAAAAAAAAACCACAAAAAAAAAGTTCACATGCTGAGTGAGATGCTAAAGAAACAGAAAGTTCACAATATTTTTAGTGTTTTATTAGCATTTTTAAAACTTTCTTTATTGCTCTTGTGTACATTCTTAACCCTGTGCACCTCTGATCTTTTCACCTATATAGCACAAATGTCACAGTAAATATATTTAGTGCAAAGGTATCATTGCCCTGAAGTTCCATGAGATCTCTTCATACTCATTCTGAACTAGGAAAAAAAATTAAGGGCACTGTGACACATTCAGTTTATGATTTTTGCCATCATAAAATAGCCCATCCTTGCATACAACATGCTTGTACAGTTTAATTGATCAGGGCTAGATTTGGAAGAAACACAGAAGTGCCAACACTCCACAGGGCAGTGGGCCAGTAGTTTATCTGCAAAATCCTGTAGCTCCTTGATATGATTTTTGGCTGGTTTTCTTAAGTGGATAATTTGGATAAATCACTTGGAAAAAAGAATTTTCTTGTACCAGACCAGAAGTGCAGCAGGCCAGTATATGTAGTGCCAGATACTGGCCCCTTATTATTAGTATGTCAAGTCGTTGAAATGTCAAAACAAAACCTGGCATCACCGATGCCAGGACTGTTCAAAATGAAGCTGTAGTTTGAATTTCTGTGGTATTCTATTTTTGGGCATTGCAACCTCAGACTGTATTTTATAGTGGGGCACTTCACACAGGGAATGGGCAGATGCTCTAGAAAGAGTGTTCTAGGAGGAAAAAGCAATGAAATTCAGGTCTCAGTCTATGAATATTAGATTAGGTTACTTATTTAACTGGACACCTAACACTGAAATAAAGCTGCCTGCCAGAGAGTGATTTATTTGCCAAAATGAGAAAGTTGTGTTGGGTTGGTTTTTTTTTAAGAAAGAAAAAAAAAAAAGCTTAAATTCAGGGATATTTTTTGGGATACGGCTATTCTCCACCACTGTAGGATTGTTCTTTATGATGTACTATCTACTACTCTTCTGTGGTCTTTTATTTCCCTTGGAAAAAATATGTTCTGCTCTTTGAGATTTTCCTTTTTCTTTATGTGTGGAAATACGCAGCATAGTGTTTTGCTTGGTAAAATTCACCCTAGAAAATAATTTATCTTTTTTTTTTTTTTCCACCACCCTAATACAGTCTTAGCTTCTCTTGCTATCTTGCCCTTTTTTCATGCTTGAAAGCTAAGAAAATCCTCAAATGATAGTTTCCATGTGCATGTTTCCTCCAGTTGTTATTATTGTACTCTAATGCCAAGTTCACGGCTCAAGAGAGAAGACCCAGTTTAGAAATATGAGCATCCGTTACTAATTAAGCCAAGGCAAAATGTTCCTAGTTCTGTTAAATCCGCAGCAAGGCCACGTGCTTGTGAGTGTTCTTTAACCTGCCTGAGTGCAAGTCTCTGTCACCACCTAGTGTCTGCTCCACAAAGGGTCTGAGGATTCCCTTGCATCTCTCCTTCCCAGCCGAAGGAGTCAGCCCAGAGATGTAGTTATACACACAATTTATTCCTGCAGCAAAGCTGGTTCCTTATCAGCCTCCCCTTCCTATCTGTTTGTTGCCACTTCTACTCTTGAGCTTCCCAGCCCCTCAGGTTTATCACTGTGATAGCCTATGAGCTGGACTGACTGTGTACCAGGGTTAAGATGACCTTTTCTTGCCTCGCTTCCCTCAGTGAAAGACTGATTTTTGGTTTTCAGTGTAATAGTCACAATAGCCAGAGGTTCTGCCTCTGCTGTGGGCCCAGGGTGACATTAAGCACTGCTATAAGGACTCCCAGCTTCCCACCTGTCTCTGAAGAACCAAGAGCCTAAACTCTGCTGTATGTCTACCTAAAGCCTCTGTCTTCCCTTTTTGTATATTTATTCATTTTTTTCCCCACAAAAATTGTTGCTTTGTAAAATGGGACGTGTTTATGTGCCATTCCCCCATTCTTCATGTGTGAAGGGATCTTCCAACAGATATTGGCCATCGTGCCACTGTGGCTTGTGAGCGTTTGCCCCGGGTAGGCCGGGGTGTGAGATTCACTGAACCTGCCCGTTCTTCACCTGCAGGTGAGCGAGATGGAGGTGAACGGCCAGTTCGAATCTGTCTGCGAGTCGGTGTTCAGTGAGCTGGAGTCCCAGGCAGTGGAGGCCCTGGATCTGCCCATGCCTGGCTGCTTCCGCATGAGGAGCCACAGCTACGTCAGAGCCATCGAGAAGGGCTGCTCCCAGGACGACGAGTGCGTCTCGGTGCGCTCCTCCTCTCCCCCACGTACGACCACCACAGTGAGGACCATCCAGAGCAGTACTGGTGAGTAACAAAAAGGGAAATCCAGAGGGGTGGTGTAAAGGGAAGGTACCTTTCCGTGCAGCTCCATCAGATCAACGATGAGCTCTTCTTTGTCAGACATCAAGCCCCTAAGTGAGGGTGTACTTCATCAGGGAGCTGGACAGATTAATCAGCCTAAAACTATGCACAGATCGAGGCTGATGCAGTTGTGGTGCCTCCTACATCCAAGCTAATTTATTTTTAGCTGAAAGCACACAGAAGGAAAGTCCAAGGTCATGTCTTCTCTCACTCTCCTCCCCAAAAGAGCAATCACAATTTGGCAAGGCTGAGCGAGAAGGCTCTGGGTTAGCAGCTCTGCTGGCTCTTACCTGCAGATGAGGTACATATTTTTTCTGCAAAGATGAGGTGATCTTTGTCATTTCTGTAAGTTGCAAGTTATTGGATGTGTTGTTTAATGGCTCAGAGAGACTGTTACAGCTCTCTAGGCCATATCTCAGAGTTGGGAATGTCAAAAGGAAGAAGGGTTCTGCAGTTCAAATTATGCATGTTCACATCCTGCTGCTATTCTTTCTACAGTTCAAACTATTCAAGGCTTGCAAGAGGGAGAGGTTTTGGTCTGAATGTGAGACTGACAAACCATCCTTTTAATGTTTGAGGTTCCTTTTCTTTTGGAAATAACCATGATGAATTCCACATTCGATCACCGAAAGTGGTGCTAAAGGGGAAGAAAAAGCAAGTCAGAACCCAAAACCTAGATCTGTCTCTCTCACTCAGGAAAGCAAGAGGCAGGAACCATTACGTGTGTGCTTTTCCCTATGGGAGAAAGAGAGAGGCTTTCTTTCTTTTGGCTGCTCTGCATCTGTTCCAGCTTTACACAAGCTTCATTTACAATTCGTATACTCTTTGTACTCATGGCTAATACTGACTATAATAAGTATTTCACCACACTTACTCTACCTCTTTTCCCAGTTCTTTAATTTTTGTTTTCTGTACTTTAAACTTTTTGCATGTTATCTCACAGATGCAGTTGTTTACACCTTGTAAGTTCCTTATCTCTCACTTCAGTCTTTTTTAAAGTTGCTTGTCAATTGGTTTATGTCATCAAAGGACACCGCCAATCCTTTTACCAAAATTGTTCACCTGAATTCATTATTTTTCTAAAAGTATTGAGGTATGTACTATAGGAAATACATTGGCAGTACATGGCAAACACCGAAGTGTTTTTAGCAAATGCTGCAGAGCAGTTCTCATTTAAATCAGTAACCCTTAAGAAATAGTATGCATGTGGCAACATTTCTACTGTAAAAGTAGTTCTTGCATGCTTGCAGGGTTTGCACCATACCACAAAGACAGGATTTACATAAGGTATATATTTCTTCAGTGTACAGTATTAGCTTGTGTCAAATGTGTTCTGAGACAAAAGCTGAAGGATGGGAGTTTTCAGGGATTTTTTAGTGTGCATTTGCCTTGATTAGATCACCTTGGGTACTCCCAAGTGTTTTTTCAGTTCTTTGAGAATGGGTTTGTTAACACTTTTTCCTTTATAAAAATAACGGTAATCATTAATCCAGAACGCAATAACAGTTTTTTAATTATGTCTATATAAGAGGTTTTTTCTGTCACCTAGAAAAAGGGTGCCTCTGTTTGGGGAAGATGGTGTATCAATGGAGAAGGCTGGCTGTATGTATCAGTCCAAAAAAACTGAAATCCAAAAAAAGAAAATCATTGTTGTAAACTGTCCCTTGTTTATGCTCAGTTTTTTAGCATAACCACAAACAGATGTTGGTCTTTTTTCTGAATAGATGGCTTTATTAAAATATCATGTGAACAAAGCTATGATATTGAAAAAAACAATCCAGTGGGTCTGTCTTGGGTTACTGCTTCTGTAGTCAGCCCCTTAAAATGTAGAGAAAGGAACAATCTGCAGCCCTCTCTTTGGACACCCATAGAAGCATTTAAAGACCGCTGTAGGTACCTATTTTCTGCTGTGTGAAGTGTACTGAGTTATCATCTTTCCCATTTTTTGTCTTGGGCTCCCAAGGGACCATCCCCTGAACTAGTAGCATTTCAGGCAACATGTCTCTTTTACCACCTGACTTACATACCACTATTGGTTTAATGGGGATTGGAGCTGAATTAATTCCATCCAAAGACATCTATATTGACTACCTCACTGTTGCCTGTCACTGGCTCACAGAAGAGAAATAACATGAAAGGTATCTTTGATAATTCCTATTAATATCAGCTTCGATAAAATGGGAAATGGCACAACAGCTTCACAGATGTGACAAAATGAGAACAGTATCTCAGACTCACCTCCACTGAGGTGATGTTTCAAATGCTTTTGTGGGAGGCAGAAGAACACATGATCTAAACTACGATTCAACATCCCAAAATGAGAGAGCCCCAAAAACACATCTGCCTGTTCAACCAAGCAAGGTTCCTTTCATCAATATTGGCAATTCTCTAAAGTAACTGGCTTTTCATTCACTAATGCACAAAGCTGTGATCAGCATCGATGCTGGAAATTTCTCTGACTGCTGTAAGCGCAGGAAAATGCCAACCTGATGATCATAGAAAAAAACAAGAGAGCTGCCTGTCCACTGGCTTCTCTTCCTCCAGAGCAATAACCCACAATTTTCCAGGACATCTGGATAAAAATATTAAGCAAGGACTGTGGACAAAAATCACGCATACCTCTGCTGTAAGCCTATACTGCAGTGATTATAGCCTTGGGTTTTAATTTCCTACTGGTCCCTGCCCAACTGGTGGCCTCAGCAGCCTGTGCTGGTCTTAGTGCTCTCTCAGCAATGCTGGGAGAGAAACTGCATCTGTCTGAAACTGAGCCCCGGTGTGAAAATGGGGTCTTAGGCACAAGCCTGTGGTCATCAATGAGATGAAATGTTATACTGTGAATGGGGAAAAAATCCTGACGTCCCCAAAGTGAAATTTCTGCATGTATCTGGGAGATGAGTACTTTTGTTTGTGAGGCAAGCTTGTATGTGAAATGAAATTTTATCCTTGTTTTTAAGTGAAGGATTTTGAAATGAAGAAGAATTAACATGATCTTACCACTTTATCTAGAAAGAGAGTCATGTGGGAAGTAAGAGCCACATTCACAGCTTCATTGTGCTTTGAAAGCCAAGCAGTTGAAAAGGTCTGTTCACCCTTGTATTTGCTCGTTCAGCATCGGTCAGACCTGCAAAGGCAGCTGGGGTCCTTCCCTGGGAGCAGGACTGTGCAGGCTGTGGGCTCCAGCATCTTTAGTGTGCTGGCATATATTAGACACCATAGCCTGCACTAAAGATTACCACCTGGGTCATTTGGTCTCTTCAGAGGAATCTAATGAGGTGTGAATTATTAAATTATTTGACCCCGGGTTATTTGCAAACGCAGCCATTGTAGCTGAAACTCTTCAGCCAACAGATTCAGTCTCTAAATAGGTAGCCTTTTAACAGTTTTAGAAGTCCATAAATCATTTCAATGAGCTTAAAGAATACAAAAATTAAGAATCAAATAAATGTCTAAAGAACATTTTTCACCGACGTTTCTTGCGTCTGTGTTTCTAACCTGTGTGTGTGCAGTTGTGCATGTTTCTTTGCTGCCATCAAATCTTATGACATTGTGAGGGCTCAGACATTAACACATGTGGATACAAGTATGTAATTGAGATTGGATATGTTTAATTTGAAAGTGATGACTCTTTAATGGAGCTGGAGCAGAAACATCAGCAAAAACTGCAGTAGATTGCAATGTGTTTTCTCAATAGCTGACCTATGTACAGTCAGGTAAACAGGAATATCAAAGTTATCTGCAGCATCGCCATCTGGCGATTCTCAGGAATATTGCACTTCTGCTTAGAAGCAAAACAAGCAAATATCCCAAGGAAACCATGCTGTGTAGCCAGCAGGTTAGAGAAGGACTGAGAGTTATCACAGCTCATGCTAATTATGGTGCTTCAGCTGAGCAAGCTGTTTTGCTTCCGTTCATTGGAACATCTGACCAAGAGGGGTCAGGTATTTTGAGGAAAATCTCTAGGGGGCTGCCTAGCCAATTAAAAAAAAAAAAAAAAAAAAAATTTTTAAAAATGCAAGCAACTTTTAAAATAGACTTGTGCCAGGTAGACTTCAAAAATAAAATCAAATCCTGTGGAGAAGGAAGCTGTAACTGATTGTATGCCAGCTGTGCCCAGGCTTTTTTGAACTCCTCAGAACTGTCCTTTCAGAGAGTGTTCTGCCCAAAATGAAACATGGAATTAGGATTTCAAAAGACATTTCCAGCTGAAGCTAGGACTGGTTTCTGGATTTGTACCAAAATTAAGATATTTCCGGAGAAGGTCTGAAGAAATATAACTAAGTTAAGGCCTTCATGCAGATGTTAAAAATTAAATAGATTTGAAGAGTGTAGAAAACTGTTTGACAAAAATTTGACATGGTTCATTTCCTCTATTTCCTTGAATAATTCTGAAATGCAGTCTGCTTTTGGATCCACTATCAAATTGCTTAAACCAGCACTTTAAAATGTTTTCCTTCACTAATGAGGAGCTGACCTTGGAACAGAACACTATTTCCAATTTCAGAGGCATCTGACTGTAGCTGGAGCAAGTTTTGTCTTGTCTATCACAGAAGTCAGCTTTATGAATATGAAGTTTCACATCACACCAACAAAAAACATGTTTGTGAAGCTAGTGAAATTTTTTAATGAGAGAAACTCAGAACAGAGCTCTTGCTGGAACATTTCCAACTGACTTAAAGCATGATGCAAAGCACTCATGAAAATTGCTCTGATAATAAGTGCCTGAGCAGAAGCAGGACTGAGCCATGAGAGTCATCCATGGAAAGGCTACCCAAACTTTTGGCAGGTTGCATCAGGTCCGTTTACATGTTGTGTAGTTTTATGCCTACAGAGAACAGGAATTTAAATAAGTTTGATAAATTCCATTTTACCTTTTGGATGCAAGATCTCTATGTTCTGAAGACACATGGAAATTTGTGGCCTGAAAGTCAGGGATTACTGGAACA